CGATGTGTGTCAAAACCTCAAGGCTTCCAGTGTGATTTGTCAAATTAGATTAACCGTGCAGTCCGACACAACTTGAAAATAAGCTTCATTGTCTTCAGTGCTGCTTTTTACCATGCAAGTTTTCTAGGTTTTTTTTTTCATGCTAAGAGCAGATTCAAGGGTGAGAATTGGAGTCATCTAGTATGACTCTTTACCCTCCTCCTCTCTCCATCCTCAAATATTTTGGTTTCCTAAATAGGCTCCACCTGCATTTGAAGGCTTTGGAAGAAAATCAACCTGGTTTTGTTCACTGTCAGATGAAATTCCATTAATTAGTATTGACTTTCCCCCTAACAATGTAATCCTTTACACCAGGGGTCTCCAACCTTTGACAACTTTAAGCCTGGAGGACTTCAACTCCCAGAATTCTGGAAATTAAAGTCTGCCAGGCTTAAAGTTGCCAAGGTTGGAAACCTCTACTCTACATGGTTGAAAACAAATTCCCTTAAAGAAAGGCCTGATGATTAAGAAAGTATGCATACAATTAGGTTGCATAAATTTTCAGTTTTGTCACAGCAAAAACAAAGAAACAAAAATGTTACATTATGCCTTCTTTCTTTTCTTTCTTTTTACAAAAACTTGGGTGTTTTTTTTTTTTTTTTGAGGGGGTTGGTCATAAACCTTAAGGCAGCCAAGCAATTTACAATATTTTAGGTTGTAAAACTAAATCAGCAATTTTTGATGCCAGCAACGCTAGATTCTTTGTGGATCATCAGAGAGATTTGGGAATAGGAGGTGCTGGTTTGACATTCAAGGTAGACTGCCAAGTGATGTCATTTTGAGAGTTCTTCAAAATGGTATCCCTGAAGGCTCAATTTTGTCTCTAGGAGCTTACAGTGCTTACGTAAAATTGGGAAATCATTAAGAGATCTGAAGCTGGATGATGATAGATTTAATGTTAGTTAAGTCTGGGCCTCTCTTGAATGTCTGCCTGCAGGATAATTTTGTAAAGTGAGATTGAATTTAGATAATACTAGACAACCTGTGACTCGTCAGGTCATTATTTCGGAGTGATTTCCTTACCAGATTCCTCAATGTTTTCAACAATGGCAATGCATCCAGTGTGCTTCCTTCACTGGAACAGTTTTTTTTAAAAGCCAAGGACATATTCAGAGTGACATCTGCCTTGAAAATAGCCTATGTTCAACTATATAGCAAACTCAGGAGTTGACCACAGGAAATGTCTCATATAACATTTTGTATAAAATGTCTTAATGATATTTTTTGTCATAAAACATTTCATAAAGTGTCAAATTTCAATTCCACCAGAATCATGGGTCCTGTATTTTGGATGGATTCTGTAAGTTAGCCCATTTGAGGTATCTTGATTCAAAAAAAATTATTTAATATAGTCCTTACATTCACACAACATTTACTGAGATAATTTGAGGAGCCTTCTCTGTAGCCTTCCAGGCCTGTGAATGTTCTCCCTTCTATTGGCTCCTTACTATTCTTATGAAAAAAAAAATGAAAAAAATGGTGAAAGGGGGTTTTCATATGCCAGTATTTAACTACAGTTCTACGTTTTTATTGTAAACTGTTAAGTCACTTTGGTAATTGGGGACTAATGAGCCTAATATCCAATGTGTGCATGCGTATGTGTTGAATGTGTGCGAGAGAGACATATGTATATTTATTTGCAGCAAAATGTACTTAAGCACTTGTTTCATGTTTCTGTGTACATGCTTTTGCCAACATGCAAATGCTTTTGGTTGAGGAAGAACATAATTTATGAAGTGCCTTTTTTGCTTTATAAAAAATATTCAAATAATTCACCAGATGTCACAAACTGCCAGGCTTTCTGCAGACTGATTTAAAATGCCTCCAAGTCCACTCGCCCACAGAATAAGATAATCTTGCAACATGCAGTCAAGAGTATGCATCCTTATTCTTTCTGAATAAATATTAATATTTGATTCTCTGTTTGTAGCTATTGCTACAAACAAAAAATATTATTTTGAAGTGTGTATCGACTATCTGTTTTAGCACTTTACCTCAGGGCTGTCAAACTCCCAGCCCATGGGCTGGATGTGACACGTACTGCCCAAGCTCACGCCTGGTTTAGAGAAGGGGAAAAAGTCCTGATAACATCACATGAAGCCACTCTTGACTATGTGAATTTGACACCCCTGTGATACTAACCTGACTTGTTAAGACTTTGCAGGTTTTACCTTTGGTTGTGCTCCCAATAGAACAGCCATAAATTAATCATGGTTCTTAAGTCACTTTCAGTGTCAGCCATTAACTAGCAATCTTTGCCATGATTGTACATTGGTGTTTTAAAGAGGATGGGAATTGGCCATTAAAAATCATGTGGTTATTGAAGCTACAAGCACTTGGAAGGCAGAATCACCTCCCACCCAACTGTAATGTCTGTTATATCTCTTGCAAGAGTACAAGAGTTGAAATACGAGGTAAAAACAGTAGAGCAACCCTGTTTTGCAGCCAACTCCTTTTTTTCAGTTTCTTTATTTAGAATCCCAAAGGAGAGGTTAATCATATGTTTACCTTTCCATTGAGGTTTGCATAATGCATACAGCCATTGTTCAGGTGAGATAATTTACAGTAGATCAGGGATGGAAATCATAATTGAGGGGTTTGCTGTGGTCTTGATTTTCACTACTGTTAAAGCTTGGATTTCACACTAAGCACACTTTGCCATGATTTAAAGCAGTGGTTAATATGAACCCAATCATAGTATCGTAAGCCACAGATTATAGTTTAGTGTGTTATATGAATAGAGCCAGTTGTACTTGATTCAATAAGCCATCGCTTTGAGTTGTATTAAACAGTCCAAGATTGATATGCTTGTTTGTCTAATAAGCTTGAAAAGACCAGATTCAGGGACCTGCAATTACGGAAGTTGTCTTACAGAATGTATTCTTGAAATGATTTATCAGTGCCACTTTAGATAAGAGACTATAAATATTTATGCAGTTGGTTTGCACAAAACATTAAAAAAAAAGCCACCAGATTAGTCTGGACTGCACAACACATTAGGCTAAAATGTAAATAGCTGATATGTGACTGTATGCGAGTGCCTCCTCTGACCTTGGGTGTGATAAGATTAGTTACCTTGGGTTGCAATGGGTTGGGAAGAGCAGCCTTATTGGAAGGGGACCACAGTGGCAAAAGGCGATCTAATGTAGACATTCTGTTTAAACCACAAAAATTTTGGAAGTTAATTGAACGGATGATCGTTCACCCTTTTCCAGAGCTTGGCTAATAAATCCCATGTTCGGCATGAAGTCTTTATTCCAAGCCCTCACTTTTTATTCCTTTGCAAGAGTTGGTCGTAGGCGGAGAATGGCTTGCAAATGGAATTGTACTGCACACCCGTATTCGAAAAACCACAACGTGTAGCAGCAACTAGATAACAAAGAGGTCTCTTCTCTGGAGCCTGCTGCCTAAATGGCCGACCCCGCCGTCTTGGGTCGCGTTTTCGAGGCTGGCTGTGTGACAAACCCAGTGAGTCACAAAGTAGCCCCGCGGCAGTTCAGCCTCGCCGGTTTACGCCAACCCGGGCGGTGCGCTTCAAACTCCCTCCTCTCAGGGAGAAAAGGCAGGCCAGCAAAAGTGAGTCCGTCCATTCAACCCCGTATCCAGGTAAACGTCAGCTGAGAACCCGGGGCCGCTGGGGAAACCTGTTGAGCCCTCAAGAGGAGGCCGCCTCTCTTCCACCCTGCTCTCCCCGGGGCGCCGCCGCGCTCTTCGTTAACCTCGAGGCGCGCCCCCAACCTCCCCGGAGGGAGCGCCTAATGCCTGCCGGCCGACCAAGAGCCCCCCCGCCCCGTCCCCATCTCCCCGTCCCCCCCGCGGTACTGTCCTCGGCTCACCCGCGCCGGAAACAGGACGGCGGTGCAGCCCTCGCCTTATAAAGGCAAAATGCGCCCGGGGGAGGAGGAGGAGGGGGCCACCCGAGCCTCTCGTCGGGGCATCCCCCCCCCCCCCCCCCCGCGCGCGCCTTGCGCCGGTGCAGCCAAAGACGCGGGGGCTTCTTGCTCTGCTGCCTCGCAACACTTTCCATTTTAAAAAAGAGAGAGAGAAAAACACGCAGCAACAGCACTTCGCTTCCGCCTCGTCCGCTTACAACCCCCACCCACCCCCCTCCTTGATTTCCCTCTGGTCGGATCCGCAGGCGAGGGGAGTCCATGTCGTTGCTTGCGCCCGCCCTGCCGTTCCCTTCCTTGGCTGCGCGCAAAGCCCACCTAGGAGAGCCCCCTTTGTTTGGGGGAGCCGAGCCGAGCGCTTTGGACACACAGCGGGCTTGCTTCGCTTTGTCATTGGCTCGGCCTTTTTTGGAGGTCCCTCTCCCACCCCCTCGCCCCCTCTCCCCTTTTTCTCATTTTTGTGTGTGTGTGTGTGTGTGTGTGTGTGTGTGTGTGTGTGTGTGTGT